GCGAATAATAGTAATAAATGCAAATCTTAAGAACCGCTCTTGGTTTTTGCCTCATATTTAGAGAACTGATTGAGCTGCATGGCTGTAGTTGACATTGCTGGATAGAGCACGAAATTGCAATCTTTGTACCAAATATTATTGTAGAATTATTTCTGGTTTTTACGCAAAATGCGAAAATTCCAAATAAATGCTGATTTTAAAACCCGCTCCTACCTTTTGTCTCATAGTTAGAGAACTGATTGAGCTAAAAAGCTCTAGTTGGCTTTGAGAAGTAGAGCATTAAAATGTACTCTTTTTCATACCAAAAGTCACTCTAAAATGGTTATAAATAAATAATAAAAATAAACGAAGATCTTTCGAACCGCTTTTGGCCTTTGCCTCATATTTACAGAACCGATTGAGCTGCAAAGCTGTAGTTGCCATCGCTGGATAGAGCACTAAATTGCACTCTTTTTCTACCAAATATTATTGTAGAATTATTTCTGGTTTTCAAGCAAAACGCGAAAATTCCAAATAAATGCCGATCTTAAGACCCGCTCTTGGTTTTTGCCACATATTTAGCGAACTGATTGAGCTACAAATCTCTGGTTGGCATTGAGGGATAGAGCATTAAATGACGCTCTTTTTCGTAGTAAACGTGATTAAAGAATTGTTTCGAGTTTTCCTGGAAAATGTGAAAATTCTAAATAAATGTGAATCTTAAAAACCGCTCTTGGTCTTTGCATCATATTTAGAGAACCGATTGAGCTGCAAGGTTCTAGTGGTCAGTGAATACTAGAACATTAAATCGGGCTCTTTTTTACGTCAAATGTTATCCAAGAAATCTTTTTTGTTTTCACGCAAAGTGCGAAAATTTCAAATAATTGCGGATCTTAAGAAACGCCCTTGGTTTTTGCCTCATATTTAAAGATCCGATTGAGCTGCAGAGCTCTCGTTGGCACAGGGTATTAGAGCATTAAATTGCCCTCTTTCTAATACCAAACAACATCCGAGAATAATTTCTGATTTTCACGCAAAATGGGAATATTCCAAATAAATGCGGGTCTTAAGAACTGGTCTTAGTCTTTCCTTCGTATTTAGAGAACCGACTGAGATGCAGAGCTCAAGTTGCATTTCAGAGATAGAACATTAAACCACTCTCTTTTTTTTCTAGTTTTCCCTCAAAATGCTGCAAAATGCTTATTTACATATACAAAATTTGAATCTGATTGGCTGTCGTTCTTCGTTTTGAATCCAAAACTTTATCGGCAGTTTTTTTAAGTTTGCAAGTGTTCAACAATCATATACATATATGATGTAGATGTATTCAGAATACAGAAGGGCATAGAATTGGTAGCGTCCAAAACACAAGGAAATCATTTTTAGATTGTATCATTAGTTTGTAACAATTTATTTATGATGTTCGCTTATGTTTTAGGTATATTTTTTGATCTGGCCTATTTTTCTTAAAATAACAGACAGTTTCTTGTGTAGAGAATGATATAAGTGTATATCATTCTCAAGAAACTATAAAAACCAAAGGACTCAAAATAAAATATACCATTATACATTTGAAAGGAAAAACCATAAAAAACGATTACCAAAAATTACCTACCAATAAATCTCATAAACTTATGTGAATTGAATTGTATCGTTAAGTACAATTGAAAAATTGTACTTAACGCTAATGACTATTTACGATAGTTAAAGAACTAGATAATAATATAATTGATTAATTTCAACATCTAGAGAATTTTGACTAGTCTTAAGGTTCGTACCATTCCAAAAATTAAGATGTTCTTCTAATAATTTTTAGCGTTTTTCAGCTGTTTATTTCCTTAATTTAGTTTTATGTCTTTCATCTGAATAAACGTTTGTGTGATGCTGAAGTACATTCATTTAAGTAATATGATTCTCTTAAGAACTATTCTCAAAATATAGCAAACTCAAACAAAAATTATTTATTAATTTATATTAATTTTTTTCCTCATAAGTTAATATTATAGAAATATGTTGGTTTCTTATTTGTTAAATAACTACATAAAAGAAGTTAACATTTATTTCTACCTTTGCGTGGTATATTTGAATCACCATACCTCTGAGTCATTCTGAGTTATTGTAGGTACTTATTTCCGCTAGCACAAATAATTTTTACGAGTATTTAAAAAATCTACAATAAAATCATGCATTCCATGAAAACTTAGTTTTCGTTGAAGTTAGATTTTAGACCGAAACGCATATTAAAAATTGTTTAACAGATAAACCTACTTTCTCTTAGTCTCTATCTAGAATTGGCTAAGTTTTATTTCAAACGCTCTTAAAAGTACATATTAAAGTAAAAAATGCAGGTTTCCTGTTTTCACTTCTAGGTACAAAAGCTCATCTGAGACGTTAAAACTGATAATATTTCGGAATCTGATAAAGATTTAAATGAAAATGTTCCTGCTTCTATATTAAAAGACTTTCTACTCTAGATTAATCAATAATGTGGTGCAGAAAATGTCGCCTGATAATAAACATACGGAAGCGGAACAGACCCAATGGACCGTTGAAGGTAAAAACTTTTTACAGTAAGACTGAGGACAGTGTTGCAGATAAAGAATCTGATGGAAATGTGTTGGGGATAAGAAAAATAGCAAAAATTAGCAACATTGTTCACACTAAGAATGATGCCAGAACAAGCAATGTGAGATAACTACTGAAATCGCAAGAAAGAATTTCAGATTTTCTTCCTTAAATGTTATATTTTTTTGCTAATATTATTCTATTGCTCCATTGGCAAAATCTGTTTTCGTGTTGTTTCCGTTTTAATAACAACTTATTAATACGTATTTTGTCAAATTTCTTATCTAGGGTCAGTGTAAACAATTTTGGGGAGATTATGTCTCCTTGGCGGGCACTTCGACTTACCGGGATTTTTTTCGTCTTAGTATTCTGCTCTATTTGGACGCAGAAGGTGGCATTTTGCTGCGAATACCTGGAGTATATTCTGGCATCATTCATTAATGAGAGGAAGGCCCATGTTTCTACAGAGTCGAAGGCCTTTCTGTAGTCTACAAACGCTAGGTGAAGTTGAATGTTAGGTTTATTTGATTTTTCAATGAGTAACTTTTTGAGTGTTTGGAGGTAATCCAAGGTACCTACTGTAACCTTTTCTAAAGCCAGCTTGCTCTACTGCTTGGTATTGGTCAAGCATTGATGTTACTCTGTTACGATTTTCAGTTTAGTTAAAAAGCCTGTTACTTACTTAAAAACGCGATTGGCTTGTCTTTCCAAAGCTGGGTGGCCGAACAGTGTCCTCAGAAACCATTAAAAATGCTGGAAAAACAAGTTGCTTGCGAAGTTAAAGTATTGTGCGATTGAGACTGTAAAAAGGAAGATCTACAAGGCAGAATACACAACAACGAAGTGTTAAAAATTATTATCAAAGTGGTGGAGGTTTTGCAGCCACAGTTCGCAAAATGCGGACAATTAAGGGCCATCGGAATGCTCCAACTGAAGCTACTGTGAGGAAATTAATGGAGAAATATTAGCAAACTGGATCTGTAAATGAAGTGATAACCGAAACACGCGTTCGTCCTGGTCGCTTGACTGAAAATATCGCAGAAGTACGTGCAAATGTTGAGGAAAGCCCAACCACATCAATTCGACATAGAGCTCAGGAAATTGGTATTTCCACAACCACTATGCATCGAATTTTAACAAAAGATTTGAAGCTTCATGCGTACAAAGTTGAATTGGCTCAAGAGCTAAAGCGAGAAGACCATGAGCAACGAAGAACCTTTATTGATTGAATTTTGCAACAACGACAATTGGACGGTGATTTTTCAACGAAAATAATCTTTAGTGACGAGACCCATTTTCATCTTGATGGCTTCGTTAATCGACCAAATTGTCGCATTTGGGGTTCCGAAAATCCACGAGTGATCGTGCAGAACAGATGCATCCAAAAAGAGTCACTGTTTGGTGTGCATTGTGGGCTGGAGGATCACCGGACAATTTTCTATTGAAAATGCAGTGAAATCTTAACTAATTTTTTGTGCCAGAATTGCAGTGATGGATCTCAACAACATGCGGTTTCAACAAGACAGTGCAACATGCCATACAGCCAGAGAAACTGTTGAATTGCTGCACGAGCCATTTCCTGGTCGTGTTATTTCTCGTTTTGGAGATCGGCATTGGCCGCCCAGATCATGCGATCTAACGCTTTTGGACTTTTTTCTTTGGGGTTTTTTAAAGTCTCAAGTTTTTGTGAACAAACCAACAACGATTGAAGCCTTAAAAGGTGAAATTCAACGATGTATCTCTGAAATACCGCAAAATATATGCGCAACAGTCCCTGAAAATGTCATGAAAAGAGCACGTCTTTTGTCGTCATTTGCCTGATGTCTTATTCGATTCATGACCTCATGATGTATACTTCATTTATCAATAAATTTTTCAAACATGCCACAAATATATATGTTTTATTTAAAATTTAAATTCGTCGTTCTTATTGGAGCTGGAACACCTTTTATAAGAGCTTCAAAAGGAAGTGACACTGTTTCCAACATGCTCAACACACTTCCATACAATTTTGTTAAATATTATGTCTTATTTAAACGCAAGTCTTATAACACTCTTGCTGCAAGACCATGCAAATCTTGCTTTGCGGCATGTCACAAGCTAATTAACAAAAAAAATGTATATACGTCATTGCTGTTCTCAAAAATCGAGCTCAAAATACCCATCAAGGTTTGATGGTATCTGCTAGATTTTCGGAAACAACTGATAAAAACGGGCAATTTTGAACATTCAAAGTGGCCGAAATAAATCAAACAAAGCCCATTGTGGACCGTCTGATAAAATCAGGTTTGCATTAAAATAGCGAAAATAGTATACAAGATTTTTTGCAATTCCAAGTTTCGACTAGTTTGACCAGGAATAAGCGTCACTCGAAAGCGATTCGCTGAAATCGACGTGAAGATATAGTGGGGATGTACAGGAATCCCGTGAAGGCCCGCCTGAAAAACCTGATTGCCAGCAAACGAAAATGATTGCCATCTCACTCACACTTAGTCATCGAGATCCCGACCGCGCTCCAGGCTTAGTACCTAGCGAATTTTAATATCATTCCGGTTTACAAGAGCGTACGCGAGACATTTGTATACAAAGTTTTGTGTAAATTGTGTACGATTTCCCGACCAGTGTTTGTATATAAGCCCCGTAAATATACAATATTGTGTATATACATACTGTTCCCAGTGTATGTGTATCAAATAAAGATCAGATTGTTTATAGTTTATATGATTCCGATGTAAATGTTTTGAAGAATGATGAAAGAACAGCAGTTGGTCGAAGTTGGCGGCGTCAGCCAGTCATCCGCAGTCGGTCTCAGTATCCAGCAACATCTAAGTCAGCTACAGCTCCACCATCCTAGTGTGATATCGCTGAACGAGTCAGCGGCCAGTTCGAGCCAGCAACAGAGCCACAGCGCCATCAGCAACAATGTGTCGCCCGAAAGTTCCGCATCTGGGGACCACGACCAGAAGCCCAGTTCATCGGACAAGAAAAGTGGCATCCGCAGACAGGAAAAGCCCCCGTACTCCTACATTGCGTTGATCGTAATGGCCATTCAGCATTCGCCCACCAAACGTCTCACTCTCAGCGAGATCTACTCATTTCTCCAACAACGGTTCCCGTTCTTCAGAGGCAGCTACCAAGGCTGGAAGAACTCGGTGCGCCACAATCTATCGCTGAACGAATGCTTCATCAAGTTGCCCAAAGGTCTTGGCCGGCCGGGAAAGGGTCACTATTGGACCATAGACCCAGCCAGTGAGTTTATGTTCGAAGAAGGCTCTTTCCGCAGACGACCAAGAGGTTTCCGGCGAAAATGTCAAGCAATGAAACCGCAGTATCCCCATCCAGGCAGCTTCTTCGCCAACAATATGACCTCAATGGTAAATCAGGCCACTGGCTACGATCATCAAGCGCTAGTGCAGTCGCAGGATTACTCCACCTGCTCCTACAACACGCCGTCGCCTCAAGTGTCTTCGGTTTCCGGGGGTCATTACGGCAATTATGACTATCCAGCGGTTTATCAGCAACAGTGCGACCGGGACTGGGGTTCGAACCATAGCATTCTGACCCCATACGGCGACAGTGCTATTTCCAGTAGCTATCTGAAGGCGCCTCTGAGTCCCATGCCGGAGAATCAGGAGACTCCACCTCCTACTGTGGATAACTACTACCAGTATGGCGTTATTTCCACCTCTACGGAGAACCGTAAGTTTTCAGTTGATTTATTTAAAAAATTACCACATTTGTCTGTATAGGTACCATGCTATAATAGGAGAGGAGAAATACATTTTTCCTCCAAAATTATCATCACTTAAAAAGTAGTTCATTATCTTTTTTCGGCCCACAGATTTTTGATTGTAATAATCGCTGAAGCTACTTCACATTGTAGTGAGTTAAGATTTAAGAAACAAAATGGACTTTTGGAAAATAGGTACATACTTAAAACAAGTTGCTAATGCTAATGAAATAAAAGTAACGAAGTAAATGTACATATTTTTTATATTTTGTTTAATGCTTGCTACATATTAGGTACTAAGTTAGGTTCATCTTTGCATTAACCCCAAAAAAATTATTTTGCTTTGATTTAGCTTTTTTATTCAAACATACAAACTTAAAAACTAGGTACACACTTAGCAACTCTTGAATTAACCCCTTAAGAAAAGAACAAAAAAATAAACAGCACTCTGTCTTAAATAATAACAAGCCCTTAATTTCGACACTGGAACCATTTTTTAAAAGTTATATTCAATTCTTTCTCCTTTTTTTACGTCTTTGCTTTGGAGCGTTCTGCTGTTCTGTTCAAAACATTTAAGTACTGTTTGTTTTTCTTCATAAATGTTATTTGGTGCAAAATCTTACATGTAGGTAGCTATAAACATTTTTTTCCTGTGTGAACATGTGTAAGAACTTTAACAAATTGTCTGTTTTTTTATTTATTGTGACAATTTTTTATTGCACATGTTATTATTTGACGTTTTCCAAACTCTCAGGTTTTAATGTTCCAACTTTTTGAACTTAAAAATCAGCAGACTCTCTTAGTTGAGAACTATGAAATTTTATTTTAAACCAGGTATCCTCAATGGTAGAAGTTGCAAGTTTATCCAACGTTGTGAGTTCAGTTTGAAAAACAGTTTTGAAACTTTGGAGGATTTAAGCTTCCATCAGGTCACTTTTAGCATCCAATTTTTGCAGATTGCTTAATGGAAAGAATGTCGCAGTTGTCTTGTGGTGAAGTTTTTTTGTGCCTATTTACAGTTCGAAACTCTTCAACAATTGGGCACAAGCCAAATTTATCAAAACATCTGTTTTTTTTATTTAGTTGGTATTCTAAAGCTGCTCAAAATCAGCGATGGTTTAAAAAATCAATAATAACCCAGATAATGGAAAACACCCGGAATGAAAAGATTCGGAAATGTTTTGCATCTAATGTAGGAAGGTCGCTTCTGCAAATAAAAACTTTTTTTTTCACAAGATTTTATAATTAATTTTGGCACACGTTTTATGCTCTTTTTTGGCTAACTTTTTATTATTAATGTTGCGATTTCGATTTTCGAACAAACAATAATACTCTAGAATACCCTCTACATTTCTCGAAAAACGGCAAACGTTGTCATTAGTCTTATCAGAAAATCTCATATTATATTCTCTGCTGATCTAAAATTGAAAATAACTCGAGCATTTTGCAGAATTTATCCAAAATAAGAGATTGTTAAAACTTCAATATTGGAAGTTTTACAGACTTAATTAGTATTTAATGGAATTCCATTTTCTAAGTATGTCGTGCGTAACAATCAAGGTTTCTAAAAATGTAGTGATTTTTCTAGTTTCACATTTTAATCAACATCAACACACTAGTTGAGGGCTTGTAATCATTTAAGCACGTAATAAATGTAGAAAAACGTTTCATCTGAATTATGAGATTTTTGTTTGTTTTGTTAATTTCGTTCCAAAAAAATAGTGAAAATTTGCATTGAAAATAAAAAGTTTTTGTTACTTAAATGCATTATAAGGCTTATGCACTGTAAGAGCCTGGCAAAATTTCACAAAAAAAACATTTTATTTAGTTTCAAAATGAACTCTTTTCTTCTTTATTTAGCTCTTATTTTAGCTTCATGATTTACCCGAAATTTTTGTATGTTGCAAAAGTTTTCAATTTCTGCTCAAGTCTATACAATAGACTTGAGCGCCCGTTAAAGTTTAATAAGGGAGAAAGTATCAACAAAACATTTTTTACGTACTACGATTTAGCCTTATTTGCATTTTTTTAAACGTCTCGTTTAATTTTCAAACAATGCAAATCACCGTTATTAGACTTGCAGAGAAAATACATAATAATAAAGGTCCAGAAGTCAATTTTGCTCTTGCTATTTGGAAGGTCGTTTTTAGAACCAAATATAAAGGAACGGCAGGAATGTTTTCCGTTGGTTTGGGTTTAAAATTGTTCAAAATTTAGCTTTGATTTTGCTTATTTCGTTTTTTCGTTTTTTGCGTTGGAATTGCCCTGTTGAAAGTTTTATACGTTGCTCAAATGGTCACTTTTGTAGTACTTAGAGTCTGAATGTTATAAAACCTTAAGAGTTCTTTTTTATTTGTGTTACTTTTGATTAAAGTTTGATAAAATGTTAATTATCTAACAAATTTATAGAAATATTGTTTGTTTTTCTTTTCGTTGTTGAATGTCGTGTTATGAATGTTTTTTTGTGGTAAAGTTGCATCAATGTCTGAAGTTTGCCTATTTTCCAAATTGTCACTTTCAATGCTCTAACTTTCGAAATTATAAAAAATAAGCACATTCTCAGATTTGATTGAAAGTTGCAGAAGCAAACTTCCTAAATTGCGGAAATCCACTTGCTTTAGTTTACACATATTTTTAACTTTGCCATTAATAATAGCCAAAATTTATAAATTGTTAATAGTCAATAAATACACAAATCAGCGTTTTTGCACCACAATAGCGTGGTTGAAAAACTTCACATATTGATAAAAAAATTAAACTCTGATGTATATTACTTAAATTCGCCTTTTGAGCAATGTTCAACAGCGTCAATCCTTTCATCGAACTTTCAATGAAATTTGCTGGTGTTTGTATCATCCTCTTTTTGGGTGTGATTCTCACTTTTCTTTAACTTATTTTAAGTTTGGTAAACGGGGTCCGAAAGTATTTCTTTGGCTTTAAGTAAGTATCAAGTTTTTTACTTCCCTACTTTAGGATCCAAGTTTCAATCCTGTTTTAACAGATTTATTTGAATATAGATTGACATTTTGTTGAATTTTGTCTTTCATTGGTTCATTTGCAAATTTTTCCCGATTTCGCTTAAAATATGTTCAGGGTTTAGTCTAAAAATTTGCGCGCTAATTTTATCGATGTGTATGATATTTTGGCTTGGGACTTTTGGTGTTCCTGCTTACGATCCAAATTKGGTCAGGATTTAGCTTGAATATTTTCCRAAACACTGGAGAATTATTTCCATTTTTTCCCGTATWGTTCCTTTGATAGTCTTAAYGTCTTAATTATTTTTTKKAATCRTACTAAAATTTAATTTATTARAACGAAATACTTTTCTTAAAACTCTTCCTTTTTCACCAAAATTTGGACGTTYATAGTAGAATAATGTCGATTTTGGARCATTMAGATGAGAACATCSAAAACCTCTGACGTCTTCAAAACAGAGTAGGGCTTTGCCCTTCAATACCACCCCAAATTGATTTTATCGGACAAAACCCCAATCAAGATCTAGAACTGTTTTTACAATAAAAACATTGAGAATCGGGTATACAAACGCCTATGAATAGTCGAGCTTCGCCCCTTCAAGGTCTTCAGAAAACGGATAAAAATAAACTGACTAGAAGTAGGTAGTTAAAAAATAGACAGACCTGTTTTGTTGATGGTTTCCGGCATATTTCAGAGGAATCAATTTCATTTCTATAACATTTAAATGATCGTAAATTTTTTATTTCCAAATGCTCTTAATATATTCAATTTCTGTACATAGTTTTATTTTGTGCTTACTAATTTAATTTTTATAATGCATTTTTCTTAAAGTGAATTATTTGTTTATGCTTTTGAAAACAACCAAAATGTTTGCTCCGAATTTTCCTACCAAAGACCCAATTTAATTTTCCTATTAGTTGGAATCGAAATGTTTGAAAATCTGCTCGTTAATCGTAGTAGAGTAGTATTCCAGAATGTGAAATATTTTCGTTGATTTATACGAGTATTATCCAGGGAAATAAAAAAGCTCAAATCCATTTAGCTGAGCTTCTAGTTTAAAATAGATCGAATAATTCAGTTTATTGAAAATAAATACCGTCTCAGTTACCTCATGCAAATGGTAAACTTTTGACAATTTTTTTTTTAAGTATTTTTCAGTTTGTCCTGAGATACAGAAAAGTTAAACTTAGGAGATAAAAGCACTGATTTGCATTTTTATGCCTAACTTCCGCTCATCATTGTTCTCCAGATTGTGTGATTTTTCTACCCTTCTTTAAGCCATATGTCGCGCCATATATAAAAAGGCTGCACTGGCGTCATCGACTACTCAAATCTCCAGCCTCCAAATGCCATAAAACAACACAAACAAACATCGAACTGGCTTTTATCACATTTTTGACCTGATATAAAACCCTGTCGTTCATGCTGGGATAAAATTGATTTTCGTTAAATGTGTTTTTTTAACAAATTGTTACATTTTATGCTTGGTCAAGACGGTTTTTTAAAATGGTTTTGCAGGCACGGGGAAATTTTTGCTATTTAATTAAGCTTAGTTTGAGGTTTAGAGATTTTGCAGGCAATAGTCCAAGATGTCTAAAAGGTTTCTGAGAAGTCTGAATATAAATTGCAAAGTTTTAAAAAATACGGGCTGTACTATTCAAATTGTAGTTTCCGAACGAAATTATGTTACTTTGATCGAGGAATGTTCGAATTCCTAGTCTGATTTATAGTTCAAATGACCTTTAGAGTGGCAGCAGATTAAGCGGTGAAAGGATGGAATGTTGACTTTTTGCCCATTCCTGCTATGAATTGAAGTAAAAATAAATCAGCAGCAACAAAAGAAAAGAAAAAACAAACAGATGTAAACGATTCTAAATGGCTAAATTTCTCTGAGGGGATTTTTTAAATAATTTGATTTTTCAATGTGAACGGAACCCGGAAAATAGTAGCGATATCCAGTCAGTTTTAAAACTCTCTAATTTTACTTATTGTATTGGCGCAAAAACAAATTTAAGTTTCTTATTGAGTTGAAAATCGTTAATAAAAAATGTTCTTTAA